GCTCTGGCCCCCTCTCTTCCTCCAACACAGAGCCCTCATCAGAGCCTTCCCAGACTCCAGGACTAGCCCATGTTCCTCCCCAACCTCCTCACTGTTTGAGTCTGCTGCCAGCTCTGCTGGCTGCTTGCGGGCCACAACACCTATGACCATTTTTCACACTTCTGACCATTGCAGCATCCCCATGGTCATGCGATCAAAATTTGGATGCTTGGCAACTGATTCATATTTAAGATGGTTGCAGCATCCCTGGGTCAAGTGATCAACTTTTGTGGCCTTCGGACAAGCAGTCAATGGGGAAGCCAGATTATGTAATTTAGCAACCATGTAACTAACTTAACAAAGCAGTGATTCACTTAACAACTCGGCAAGACAGATTAACAATGGGTTAAAATTCACTTAGCTATGATCTCACTTAGCAACAGAAATTTTGGACTCTATTGTAGTGGTAAGTCAAGGACTACCTATACAAGGTGACCCAAGTTTATCCCCACTGTAGCTGACTTACATCTTTTTAATTTCCAACTTTCTCTAGTCTAGTAGGCAGAGCTGATAGACACACCTTTTCTGTGTTTAGCAATATAAACTGCCTTTCAGACAATCCTATTTAGCCATATTTGTCCAAGGCAGTTTTTTTAAATAGGAGAATATACATTTCCTTATTGTTTTTCTCTTTTTTTCTATATTGACCAAAAGGCTTCAGTTTATGTACAGGAATATGTATATAATTCAATTTCCATTAAAATTGTTTTAGATACTCTTTCTTTTTTAACAAGAAAAAGGTTTGGGTTTTTTTTGAAGTGCTGATCTTTTACAAACTAGAACGGATGTTACCAGGCTCAATTCAACGCCCCATCTATGTTGCAGCAGAAAAGGCTTTAACAGTACTTGAAATCTATTCCCAAAATTGCTTTCCTGCACCTGAATCTCCAAATGAGCTAGGCAACCACTCCCATTGTCACCAGCCCACCTGGGCCACAGTTATACCGTTGATAATTCTGGAAATTCGAGTGTAAATATAGAATTAATGTTCTCTCCATTGCAGTTACCTTTTATCAGCTTCTAGGTTGACAGACCTAGAATATTAGGAGAGAGAAGTATATGTAGGTTAATTTCCCAAAGAACTTTATTTTTTAAGAAGCTCCAATTCAACAATGCAAACTATGCAAAGGTTTAATTTAATTAATTAATCTTTAATTAAACCTCGCGATCATGAGCCACAGGTGGCAGCCCATCCATTCCTCCCCAGCTATAATCCGAATTACCCGCAGAAAACAGACCAACCAACAAGGTGGGCGGGGCGACCTCTTTTCCCGCCAGCCAATCAGGAGAGAGGTACCTGCGGCGGCCCGGCCCATGCGGAGACGTCGAGGAAGGAAGCGCTTGCGCAGTGAGGTAACCGAAGGGGCGGGGCTGACAGAACCCGTCCTGGTTGGCTGGAGGATATAAAAAGGCAACCCGCCCTTCCCTTGACTGGGACTGTTGGGAGTTGTAGTTCAGTTCTCGCAATCGGCGGCTCCACAACAACCGCGACCAAGCCAAGGCCTGCCAGGACCGACCGCTGAAGGAAAAGCCGCCTCTTCGGCGTGACGAGCTTCCCAACTTCGACGGGGCTGTTTGCCTACTTTCCCTCACTTTAAGCGCCCTTCCGAAGCGGACTCACCCGAGGAAAAGGGAGGGGCGGGCCTCCATGGCCGCGGAGAGGGGAACAGCCGCTGAGGCTGTTGACGGAAGGTCGCCACGGCAACAGGCCCCGCCCCTCGCCGCTTGAGCGAGGCTGCCGCGTCCTCTAGAGGCGCCAAGCGGTAGCGCGTCGGGCAGTTATTTACCCCGGAGGGCTTTTTCCGCGGGGACCCTCCCTCCAGGCATCTTTGGAGGAGGGCAGCTAATTTGGCCGGGGGGGGGGGGGCTTGGGATGCTTGCGCCAGGGATAATTGGATAATTGATATCGGGGGGAAAGGGGATAGTTGCCTTAACTGGCCGTGCCAACAGTATAGGGGATTGGACTAGAACAGTGTTTTTCAACCTTGGCAACTTGAAGATGTCTGGACTTCAACTCCCAGAATTCCCCCCCCCCCAATTTCCCTGGCGGGGGGATTTTGGGGGTGAAAGGCAGAGACTTTTCAAGTGCCCAGGGGGGAAAAACAGTG